ACCAACTGTATGTCGCTTTGTCTCGTGTTGGTCATCCCAACAACATCCGTGTTGCATTGCCTGATAAGAATTTTTTTACGAAGAATATTGTATATCATGAACTTTTAGGGTTAGTTATGTTTTTTTTTTTTTCTGTCGAGTCGTCACGTTCCAAAATAATTTCCGTCATATTTTTTCTTTGCAGGCGACTCCCGAATTCCGCATAAGTATGACACTCGTGCTAAGAGGAAAGCAATGACAACCAGCAATATCACTGGACAAGATACGAATGTTGGATCAAAAGTTGGAGCCCAATGTTCTGAGAGGTCCAAGAAAAGTGAAAATGATGAAAGGTCGGTGAATCTTGGAAGTGAATGTACTCGGGACGATCATCGTGCTGTTAGTGATGTTCATCGTGGATGTTCGCGAGTGAATACCCTTGATGGTGCTGAAAATATGGTTGTGGACGGGGATAGTGATCATTGTTGTGGTGATGGGGATGGTTCGTGTGGAGCTCGGTCGGGTAAGCCTGTGAAACTTATATTTGCTGATGACGATGATGATGATGTTACGGGTGATTCAAAAGAAGACTGCGTTCACTCTACATTTAAGAGAAGAAACAGACGTGGTGCCAAAACTAATGTTATGAGTTCGCCCGATATGCTCGATGCTACGTTGGCTGATAATCAGGTGGCACGACAACCTGTTGTTAATAAAACGGCAACTCAGATTGCAAGAGCACTGCTTGAGTTTTCTGATGATGCACTTGCATCCTTCGCGTTTTGTGCACCGCTTGCTGGACGTGGACATGTTAATGATTCGTCTTCGCAATCTCAACGTAGTGGACGTGAAAGACATGTTTGCGGCACATCGCGACCACAAAATCGTCCCAGCGCTGTTGTGGTGCTTGATAATAACGATGCACCCGCAATTCGCACTCTGAATCCTCGCGCTTACCTTGCTAGATGGTTTGACGATGCGAAGAAGGTTGGCATCCAAAATGTCTTGACTGTGGTTCTTTTTGAGATGTTTGTCAAAAATGCCACAGTTGTAAAAGATGGACGAATATGGGAAAATTTCCTGGAATAGAAAAGAAACAAACTCACTAATATGCGGCTGGAGCGACGATCTCCTCTTCCTTCAGACCCGTTGAATGTTTCGGATTTGGAGGCTTCTTCCATGTTGCAATCGCTTTTGAATGATGAGTTCATCGCTCTGTCTAATGAGCAGATTGCTAGGATGACGTTTCATTTGCCGCATTGTCCGACAGAAGGGACCATTCCGCAAGCCTTTCACAAATATGCACGTGTAGAGCAGCTTCTCAAAAGGATTCCTCCCATTGTTGCTTCTTCCGCTCCTCATTCTGCTCCAGTCCCTAGAGTTCCCCTTCAAACAGCGTCTCCTCCAAATTTTCAACGTCTTGCGGATTATGCTTCGCCCTCCAATATGTCAACCGCGATTGTCACTCCTTCTGTTGTTGTTTCTGCTTTGTCGGCCGCTCGTCCTACTCCGTCTCCTATGAGTTCCGTTCTGCCCGTTGATACGCCATCAACAAACCATTTGCATGTCCATACATGACGCTTGGAACAACCAAGTTCTTCCAACTTTGACATCGCTGTGTACGACTCTTTTCAATCTATTGGTCCCAAAAAGATACTTGCACACCTGTCCTATCTTGACAGTTCTCACAGGGTGCGAGATATTGTGGAAGCAGCAGCGTCGTTAAATACAAGCATGAACACTTGGAGATGTGTGGACGCTGCAATTCACCTTGATTACAATCGGCAAAGACAAAGTTGATTCGGAACTTTTCACGAGTATCGTCGCAAAGTGCTGCAAGAAGTTTTTGTTCATGAGGTGCTGCAAGAGTATCGTTCCAGTGAAGGAAGTTGATTGGTCTTATGAGAGAGATAGGGGAGAGAAAACTGTTGATTCACTGTTTATCCAAGCGTTACGTTAATGACAAATTTTTTATGATCAGCTTCGGTTATGGTTGAGTAATTGCCCTTGCAAGAAAGATAGGAAGAGAGACATAAATAAATGGGAGGGCGGAGAGAGAGAGAGAGAGAGAGAGAGAGAGAGAGAGAGAGAGAGAGAGAGA